TGTTAGTCTTTTGCTTTCAGTAAATTAACTCAGGTCACATATCACTGTGACTGTCATAAACGCCGAATGTGTAGATGAACATCAATCAGCAGGTTTTCTTATTAATAAAAATTAAAACTTCATAACAGCCCCACTGAACGTTCAGTGTGTCAGATGGCCGGGCTACTAATGCCTTAGACGGGAATCACTATGAAAACGGAGGAGTTTTGTTTTTTCAAAAGGTGATTATTTTAGACTTTTCAAAATGAAGATAAGCAGGCAGATGTTGGTTTATTTGGGAGGATCTAAAGCCATGGGATTTGTCACGTTCCTAAATCAGTTTTCTTTTTACAAATTTTGGCTCTGAGTGTAGTTACTTTATATCTCCCTGGGTAGGGGAGTAGTCCTGTAGATAATTGTTAAGCGCAGCCGGAGAGACCATTGATCACCCTGAATAAACAGAAATCAGGTTCTAAAACCAGATTGAAAGAAGGAAATTACATCACATTTTTAAATAAGGAAGCGCCGGGCAGAACTGGATGAGTTGTGTGACAAAAATGTGCCCCTCCTCCTCCTCCTGTGGATTGCTTCTGAGATTTTATTAATGAGACCTGGTGGCTAGGTGAGCAGATCTAGGTTATGTCTTGAGGGAGCCTAGTTTTTTTTAAAAACAGTTTCAAAGAGACTGTCCTCAAGGTAAAGGCATGTGACTTCACCTTGATAAAGAATGTGCAATGTGCTTTTTGGTGTAGCTTTTCTGCTTCGTTTTGAACAGCAGAACACAGTAGGTGCATCATCCAGAAGAAATACTGTGTAAGCGAAGGTGCTCTTCAGGGTTTTCATGATTGCCTTAAGTAAACACAGAGTAACAGAAACCAGTTTAGAAAGTTACATCATTAACCATTTAAGCTTATAATTCCTACCAGGCTGCAAACTGTCCACTTCGGATTCTGGAAATGAATTTAATGAAATCCCTTGCCTGTTAAGTACCCTCAACTGGTTACAACACCCGTTACGTTTATTCCTGGTTCTTTGCTTTTACCCTTAGTTCTTTACTGACTTACAGTCCACGTGACTCTTTCATGTCATGACTTTTTAAAATGAGATGAATATTTTCTCAATGCCCATTTAGTAAATATTTATCGGAAATGAAGGATGCCAGGATCTCCAGGGGAAAAAAACAGGTCCTGTCCTAGAAGGTGTGGAGGATGGGAAGAGAGTGGGGGCGCAGCGCAGAGTAACCCCCTGAACAGCTGGCCCTGCCCCACGCGGGTCGGTGGAGTAGGGCTCTGAGAGGTGACCCCGAAGGATGAGTGGAATCTAACGTGGGGGGAACGAGAAGCAGGAGCTTGACGGGCGGGTTGGGGCCTCGGTTTGGTGGCTGTCCCGCCAGACGGGGGCGCTTTCATTTAGTCGATGTTAGCCGTGGAAGGACTCAGTAGCCGCTGTGGTCAAGGAAGGTAGGGCCGGCACTGGCTCGCGGCATGGGTGGGGCTGCTTTCGGACCCCAGGGAGAGCAGTGCCAGCAAACGGAGGGAAGCTAGACTGGGGAAGCCATGCAGAAAGCCCCAGGCTCGGTGATCCAATACACATGGGCCGTGACTCAGGTGTTAAAAGGTGTCTCTGGGAACTGGTGTGGGAAGGGGGTGGGGTGTCCGTCAGGGACAGGAGTTGGGTTGTGGAATTGGGGGTGCCAGGGGGCACCCAAGCGGAAGGGAGATTACCAGACAATAGGAAGTGCTAAGTGGGAGCGGGAGCCGGGCTGGGGCGGAGACTGAAGGGTCAGCCGCAAAAGTGGGTTCACACTCCAGAAGAGAAATAAAGGGTCCGCCTCAACAAACGGTTTTAGGGTCCCCCCCACACCTTGAACTAAAAAAGAAAAATCAAGTGATGTTTAATAGGAAAAGGTAGTTCACACCTGGGATTTAACTGTTTTTTTGATTGTCAAAAAGGTGTCATGCCATAGTTACTTAGGTCCGGGACTAACGTCAGCGTTCCTGGTTGCATTTCGTGACAGAATCCGTCTTGTGCTGAGAGATACTGATTTTTTTTTTTCTCATGGGTATATTTTGCAATTGTTTTCCCAATGAACTGTAAGGCAGAGTTAGTTTTCAACTTACAAGGAAACAAAATTTGAAACACTGCAGCGTTAGTTGAATTTCCCTTGAGCAGCGTGTCTCTTTTTAACTTGCGCTTGACCAAACGGATTCCTTTTTCCCCACCCAAGGAGCACGCATGTGTGGCGAACACTCAGCTTGAGAGAGGTGTGAAAGAATTTCAGGTGCTTTCACACCCACAGCTCACAACCTGAAGAACACATTCTGAAAGTCTACTTCCTGACCTGTGGCAGGTTGCCCTTTCTGAGTCTACGGTTGGAAGTTATTTTCCCAAAGAAGAGCACATGCAGTTAGATGGCCGTCCCGGCTGCCACCGTGCGGGCCAGTAGGAAGTCCCGACGGTTTCATAACGCGGCCCGTTCACAATTCCCCATTGAAATTTAGAGGCAGGTCACCTTCTATGAATACACAAAGACACTATTGTGGTCAGAAGTGAGCTGGCTTAGTGAACACAATTCTTTTTATACTAAAAAAAAATTTTTTTCTTAAGAAAGCTAACAAGTAGGTGATGGAAACAATGAATAAAAAATAACTTTTTCTAGAACATATAAATAATTTTAAAGGACCATTGAAATGTAAGTTTAGCATTCTGAGGCAATTTCTGCAGAGGCGATCGTTACACAATCGTTCTGTTGAAAGCTAAGATTTAGATGGCATTAGGAGGCTGACACACAGTAATTACTAGTAGTGCTCGTTGGCCTGCAGACAGGTGGGGGCTGGGCCTCCAGAATCCCCCGCAGCGTTTTCCTGTAATCTGGATGAACAATCTTCAAACGTGTGCTTTCCAACTGCTTAAATACCATATTCTCCTTCCTATCTGGCCTCTCATTTTTGTATTACCACAGATGTCTTCCCGGTAGCCTTGCCAGCGCCGATAGTCTGCCGAGAAAGGCACCGTAAACCACCTGCTCGGTACACAGTGCATAGCAATTTTTTCTAAAAACTGGTTTTTAATTTTTTTTTTTATAGCTTTATTTGGTTCAGGTAAAGAAGGGAAAAACACATTTGCTTTTGTTTCAATACTCTAAAAACCAGCCTTCAAAAAAGAAAAAGACTTCCCAATAACTTAGATTTCTTAAATGATGGCTTTTTTCCCCTCTCGATCACATATCTGGGAGACTGATTAAAGGAAAATAATGCTTGACTATTTGAAATAATATTTGAAATTTATTTCGGCCTCTGCCTAGTGTGTCAAAACAGCTGATTATGGGAGCAAAAGGCTGAGACCCAGTGCTTGGGACCCATCCTTACTTTGTCATCAAACCATTACTGTCTCTTCTTTTTCATGTGGGGGGAAAAAAAACCATACTAAACACTCGCAACGTATTGTTTCAGATTTTTAGCTAAAAAAATTCATACCTTATACATTGTATACATTTGATTGACACCGATGATAAGTGATAGCGTACAAACATTCATTCAACAAACATCCCGACTGAGCTCCTGCTAGTGTTCTAGGCAGTGATGATTCATGATTGGAACATAGCCTCTTATCTGAGCTCACAGTCTAACAGGAGGTGACAGATTTGTCCATAAAACACAAAAATAACCTGCGTGCCCCCTCCCCCCACTTCGGTCCTCCATCCTCAGTACAGATGTTTGGTGAGAAGGAGCATTATAAAGTCCATAAAGGGGTCAGTGTGACACAGATAGTTGACAAATGATGTCTTAACCGCATTCTAAGCAAACACGAGTTATCTGAAGACAGAGCCGAGATTGATGCTATAATGAGTAATAAAAGTAAAATTAAACAGAGGCTCTGGGGACTGTAGACAGGTAATATCTGACAAGGAAGGGGGTGGTTTAAAGTTGAGGAAGGACTAGATTAAGGAAAATTGTACTTCCTTAGCCTTTGGCATCCGTGCCTTGCAGCTAGGTACCTCGGAGAGGAGAATGTGAAGAATGTACCTTTAAGTTTGTCTCTAAAGAGAGGAGGAAGCCGTCCAGGGCCTCTGCAGAGGCCAGTAATCTTGCAGAACTTGATTTTTACGGGATAATGGAAATTAGTATCTTCACATTTCTTTATGAACAAGTAATAACTGGAGAATCTGTCTGTCCTGGGGCCAGCTCTGAAATGGAGAATCCAAGTAAATGCCGGGCTGTGGGATAATCAGGTGCCAACCGTAGAATCTCTCATCTGACTATGACCTGCAGTGATTTCCGAATTTAATTCTTTAGCTCGGGGGAAGATGAGCCCCGTGCCCAGGGCGAGCGCACACCCTGGAAAGTCACGTAATGGGCGGGCAGAGAAACGGCCCTGCTTTGGCCGGCGAGCAGCATTTGTTGTGCGGCTGTCAGGCTCTGCTGGTGATTATTTCTCGCTTTGCTGGAAACATTTCAAACCTTGGATTAGGATGTACTAAAAAAATTATTTTTCTTGTCTACCATTAAGTACTCTCACAAGAAGCATGAATGAATGTAAAAATGTCAAAATTAAGTGACAGTCCATGACTGAACTTTTCAGCGTCCCCCGAAATTCTAATATTAGCAATTCATGGGTATTTCTGAACCGTTTCCTTTATTCTCTCATCTCTTCTTTATCCCTCTAGAGAACAAAAGCTACCCAGGTGCGGTGACATCCCAGAATAAGGCACGATGTCATCTGCAGGAGTTGCTGCTCAGGAGATTCGGGTCCCGCTAAAATCTGGCTTTCTGCACGATGGCCAGGCCCTGGGGAGCGTGAAGGCTTGCTGGGGCAGTCGCCGGGAGTTTGAAAAGTACGTAGGGGGCTTCACGCCACTGGAATCCCTTGAGTGTGTGATATTCAAATGAGATGGAGAATATGATTACTGCTTGTGACCAAGATGTCTTTCCTTTCCTTTCAGAAACTTGTTAAATATCCATCCAATCAGCACAGGCTACAGTCTGAACTCTCCTGGCCAGGCGCACCTAGCCCCTCTTGGTACGTGTTCTGCAAATCCAGGAAGTCGGCCTGGGAGAGGAGGGTGGCGTCCGGGCTGTCAGCTTGTCCCCCTTTTAAATGAGGAAGCGACCTGAGCTGTTTCCAGTAGCAGTCTGACCCCTAGTGGCAGCAGGGCCTGAAGGTCACCGGCTTCCCACACGGCCAGGGCCTCACCCCAGGTCTGATCCCTGACCGGCTGGACTTGGGGCACTGTGCCCTTTTCAGATTAAGAATTCAGTTCTGATCCAGCTGTGACACATACTTAACTTTAGAAAGTGGACAGGGCCTCCCGTGTTTGTATCGAGTGCCTGTTTGAAAGTGACAGAGTTGTGTAAATGTCAACACCTTGGAGAAGTGGGCGGTGGACCGCATAGTAGTTTTCCTGTGAACATTGCGTCCCTTAGATTGTTGTCGCCAGCTGCTTATCACATGGCGGGCAGGGCCACTCACCGGCAGTGCTGCGATGCTGGCCAGGGCCTTGTCTCATCTGCCCCGGGGCCGTGGGTACCTGTGCGGTCGCATCCCGGAGATGACTAGGCTGCTGCGGTGTGGCATTGGCGTAAATTACACGCTGCTCAGCCGCGAACTTCGCACATGTCACAGAACCGGCCGAGCGGTGTGGGCGTGTGCCACGCACACGGCCCGGGGAGCGTGTGTTCTCCGAACCAGGCCGAGCGCGTTAACAATCTTCTGGTCTCTAATTACATCTGGCCTCCGTGCGCTTAGGCACAGGCGGATGCGCACAGGTGGCGGGGCTGTCCTCGTCCCGGGCAGCGCTGCTGGCCGTTTCCTGACCCCTCTCGTCCATTCCAGGGCGCACGGCGAGCCCCGCTCCGATGAACGGCCACCGCTTTGCCGACCGCGGCCCCCGTCGGAAGCCCAGCCTGCCCCCGCTCATCATTCCCGCGGGCGAAAACGTGGGCGCGCACGACGAGGACCGCGTCCTGGGCGGTTTTA